CGCCCAGGTTCGCCTCAGAGCTCTTCGACTTGTTGGGGGGCCCAGGCCGCGATGCGAGCGCTCCGCTACCACGCTGGCGGAGGGCACGCTTCGCCGCCGTGAGCGAAGGCTTTGCCGTCGAGGGCCAACGCCCGCCTTACGACGCCGAGGGCACGCTGCAGGAGCGCGATGTGCACGACCCCGCCTCAGCCCGCTGCACATCGGCGTCTTGCTAAGGACACCCAGCGGCAGATGTGTTGCACCACGGGCGACAGCAACCACCGCGGAGTGCAGGACTTTGCCCTGGAGGTTAGACAGCAAGACGACCGAGACTGCGCCGAAAGCCGCCGCCGCTGCCGCTGCCGCTGCCGCTGGGCACGCCGCGAGCACAGCCTCCATTGTGGCCAAGGGCATTCCGAGATCCTCCTACAAGGAGGCAAGCTGCCGCCGACTCTTGCCCAATGGATTGAGCCAAAATGGTTCCACAACGTAGAGAAGGAAGGAGAAGAAGGAGGAGATGGAGGAGGAGGAGGAGGAGGAGGAGGAGGAGGAGGAGGAGAAGGAGGAGGAGGAGGAGCAGGAGGAGGATCCTGCTCCTCCGCTCCCCCCCCCCCCCCAATCTCGTCCCCTTCGTCCACCTCGGTCTCGCTTCTCGTTCTCTGTTCCTACCTCCTCCTGTTCCTCCTCGATGCCTTTTGCCGTATCTGTAATCCCTCCTCGGCGCACCACCAGACACGTCGGAATGGTGGGCTGGGCGGTTCGTCTGATATGTGGCAGCGATTTCACAGATTGAGGGTGGGCCGTATGGCTTGCACCACATAGCTTGCGCCTCCTAGCTTGCACCACATAACATGCACCACTCAGCTTACACAACATAGCTTGCCGCACGTAAATTTTATCACATCGCTCGCCCTGCATAGGTTCTACCACACAGCTTTCGCAACACAGTTTGCACCAAAATGATCTTACAACTGAGATTGAGCTTGAGCCACGTAGGGTGCACGACATATACAGCACCGTGTATACTACACTACTTAGCTTACATACTGCTTGCACCACCACGCTTGCACCCCTAGGCTGCAATATTGTAGTGGCCTTCGGCCAGTGCCGCCGATCCGGGTCGCTCGGGGTTATTCTCCAGACGCAGAAATTATGGGCGCACACTCAAACGCACACACACAGTCACACCACTTAACCTGCGCCGCAGACGTGCGCACACAGCATCACCCACACACACATACTAGTTGGGAAACGCACCTGTAGTACTAGTAGTAGTATTATTAGTAGTAGTAGTAGTAGTAGCAGTAGTAGTAGTAGTAGTAGTGTAGTAGTAGTAGTAGTAGTAGTGGTTGTGGTAGTAGTGGTAGTAGTAGTAGAGGCCTCGTTCCGCGGCTTCTCTCGACTTCCCGCGGTCTCTCTCAAGTTTCGAGCACGCGGTGAGTTTCACGATATATGTGTGTGTATGTACGCGTGCATGCATGTATGCATGCATTGATCATGTGTGCCTGTGTGTAGGTACGTATGTATGTATGTATGCTTGTGCGCGTATGTATGTATTTAGTTTGTATGTATGTTTGTATGTGTGTATGATAATATGTGTGTATGTGTGTGAATGTAAGTATGTATGTCTGGAAGATTGTTTTTCTATGTATGCAAATGTGTTTAAATGTAGGTATGTATGCATGTGTGTATGGATGTGCGTTTGAAGAGCGAGGATGTTTCAAAGAAGAGGCACTCGGTGACGCGATCGTTGAGGGATAGGAGTGAGGTCGCAGAGGAGGAGGAGGAGAATGAGGAAGAGGCGATAACTTGAAGGAAAACGATGAGACGGAGGACATCCTGCCGGTGGCGCCCTGGGCGGTGCCGCGGAAGAAACCGGGGGCCTGCCGGAGGCAGTCTGGAGGCCTCTGGGGAGCTGTTTTGGGGCCTCTTGGAACCTCTTTTGGGCCTCTTGTGGGCTTCTTGGGGCCCCTTGGGGGTCTCTTGGGGCCTCCTGGGGGCCTCTTGGGGCGGAAAGCTCGGTTCTTTCGGTTCGTGGTCCCCCTCTTGGGCCCCTCTTGGGGCTCTCTTGGGGCCTTCTTGGGCTGTCCAGAGGCCCTCTTGGGCCGTCTTGGGGCCCTCTTGGGCCGTCTTGGGGCTCTCTTGGGCCGTGTTGGAAGCATCGTGGGCCGTCTTGGGACGGACTTGGGGGCCTCTTGGGCCGTCTTCGAGCGTCGGACGCCCGAAAAGGCAAGAACGCTAAAAACCCTGAAAAAACCAATGAAAATCAACGATTCTGGCCTCTTGGGGCCCTCTTGGGAGGCCTCTTGGAAGCTTCTTGGGGCGTCTTGGAGACACCTTGGGCCGTCTGGAGGCCATCTCGGGCGTCTTGGAGCGATTTTTCGGCGACTCGGGGCCCTCTTGGAACCCCTTGGGGGTCTCTTGGGCCCCCCCCCTCCTCCAAAGCGCCGGAAAAAGCGGAGCATGGCGCCCCCCCCCCCCCTATCTTCCACTCCCCCGGAGCGGCCCCGGGGTTCGCCGGAAACTCGCACCCCCCCCCCCCCCCCACCCCCCCTTCCCCGGCAGAGCCACCCCGGCGACCCCCCCAGAGGCTGAAGCTCAGCCTCGAGGCTGTAGCTGAGACTCCTTGAAACTCACACGCCGGATCGGCGGACTTCCTTGCACTATACAGCTTGCATCACGGAACTTTCACCAATTTGCCTGAATTGCGCATCTTGCACTGCGCAGCTTGCACCAGATAGGTTGCACCACGCGGCTTGCACTACACAGCTCGCAACACCCAGATTGCACCACATACTTTATATCACACAGCTTGCTTCGCATTGCTCGCACCATGTCGGTTGTACCACACAGCGTGTACTTCTTACAAGCAAGCGCGAAGACGTACAAGCGCGAAGAAGCCCCGTGGCGAGCAAGCCGTCGGCGCTCTTGTCCAGCGCCGGCGCACTCGGGGGCCGCCCGGCCCCTCGCTCTCGTGGTTCGCCCGCAGCGCGGCCAGCTCCACGGCCGCCAGCAGCCGCCGGGGCACCCAGTGCGCGCGCAGCTGCACCTGTCGCTGCGTGCAGAGAGCCGACGCGGGGAGCTGGGCGCGCGCCGCGGCCCCCGCCAGCTCGTCGGCCTCCGCATTGCCAGCGCGGTCCTCCGGGGCCTCGCTCTGGGCCGCCGCGGCAGCCTCGTCAAGGTGCCCTTTCACCCAACGCGCGGTGATGTAGCCGGCCCGGGCCAGCAACGGATCAGTGCTCGCAAGCGCCGTCGCCCCACGCCCACACACGGGCCTGCCCTGGGCCCACGACTGGGGGCGGCAGCGGTTGCGGCGGCAGCTGCTGCTGGGCCTGCGCGGCGAGCGCGGCTAGGCGAGCGTCCGTTGGCAGCACGCCAGATCGAGAGCGCGACCCCAGGGGGCAGGCGAGCCAGCAGGGCGGCCTCGCTTTAGCCGCCCGCCCGCAACTCGGCGCGGCGGACCTGGCTCCACTTGGAACACCTCCAGAAGCGGTGTTCGCGCGTTTCGTCCACGGCGCCGCAGTGCGGGCTGCGCGAGGGCAGGCCCCACTTCGCGGCCACCGTCTCGGTGACGACGTTGCCCGTCAGGACCGCGCGCAGGGCGCCAGCCGCGTCCGGCGCGAGCTCCTCGCTTTCAGCAGGCGCCGGGTGGCCCATCGGTCGAACCCGTTCGCGACGTGCCCGAGGTCGGCTCGCCGCCCAGCCACCGCGCGCCTCACGCCGCGCCCAAGCGTCCAGCAGGGCCGCGCGGGTGTCTTGCAGCAGGCGGTCGCGCGGCCGCCAGCCGCCAGGGGCCCACGGTACGCCTTCCCAGCACTCGATGTCGCCGCCGAAGCCGAGCTCGGTCATGCTTCGCCGCGCGGCCGCAAAGGGCCCCTGCTGGCGGCCGTGGCCTGCGCCCGCTGCTCCTGCAAGGTCGCGCCAGAGCTCGAGCGGCAAGCGCCGGCGGCGCAGCGCCCTCGCCGCCTGCCACAGCGGGGCAAGGGTAGCGACCGCGGCGGGGTCGAGGCGCCAGCTCGGGCCCAGCACGCCAAACAAGACTTCGGCAGCAGCCCGTAGCCCACCCCGGCAGACGGCCTGCCGCGCGGCCGACCGCAGGCTGGCCAACTCGCGCGCGGGAGGTCGGCCACACGAGGCGCCGTACATGCCAGCAGCGGCGCAGGCCGCCGCGCCGAGCAAGCAGCGCTGCCGGAAGCCAACCAGCAACTTGGCGACGCGGGAGAACCGCCCCGCCGCCACCCGGGCCCGCGCGCCAGTCACCGCGCAGCGGCGGCCTCTCCCTGCGGTGGACGCGATGCCAGGGTCACCGATACCACAGCTGGCAGCAACGCCTGGGGTTTGCGAGCGAAGCCAGCGGCGGAAACAGGCGTGTTCGCGAACTGGCGGCTCTTGTCCCTGTTGTGACGCCAGTCCATGGCGGTCTCGAACCCCGCCGTTAATTGCAGCGCCTCGCGCACGGCCTCCCCGACCTCGGCCGTCTCGCGCCTGGTGCCGCACGCCCAGTGAGTGAAGTCGTCGATGTAAGCCGCCTGCTGGAGGCGGTCGTCGAGCCTGTCGGGCCTGCCGCATCGCCGCTGCCAGGGCCAAGTCAGCACGCGGAGGAAGAAGACGGCCAGGGGGCATCCTGGCAGCATGCCGCTGGACGGCGCCCATGGCTCGCCGATCGCCCCGCCAACCCGCACGCGCCGCTGCGCCGAGCAGGCCGCCGTGGCTGGCGCCGCCGCCCAGCGCAGCACTCAGGCCCGATGCGGGACGGCGGGGGGCGAGTTGAGCCCAACGTGGTCGTAGGCCTTACAACAATCCAGGGCCGCGCCGGCGACGGTTCCCCCCAGGGCCCCCGCCGCCTCGAGCTCCAGCGCGAGTTCCCAAGCAAGCTTTTCCGCGCCGCGCCAGGCGTCGGCGCCGCCCCAGCTCAGCCGCCACTGCGCGAACTGGCGCGCGCGCCCCACCGCCCACATGCGGTGCAGAATGGGCAGCAGCCATATGGGACGTCTGTCTAGAGGTCCGGTACCCCCGTCAGCTCAAGGGGGCAGTAGGACCTCCGGCTCCGCGAGCTCTCGGGGCCACTCCCCGGTCGCCTCCACCTCCTCCAGGGCGATCCAACCGTGCAGCCCGGCCGGCAGAAGGCGAAGCTCGCTGATCGCCCCCCCGTCGAGCCCTGGCTTTTTCCTTTTGGGCATGCGGCGCAGGAGCCCCGCCACGAGCTCAGCGGTCCAAGGAGTGCGCTCTGGGAACGGCGGGGGGCCGCCCAGCTCCTGCAACCATCCCTCGTCGAGCGCTTCCTGCGCCTGCCGCTGCCGCAGCTCGCGCCAAGGCCCTTCGAAGTAGCGGAGCTGCGCTGCAGGGCCGCCGCGAAGTGCGAGGGGCCAAGGCTTGCTCCCGACCGCGGCACTGGCGGCGCCGGCATCGACCGTCGGATCTGGCACGAGCGCGGCGTCCACGGCGCCGCCTCTGCGGATCCATCAGTGGAGCCAGCCCTGCCGATTCGTTAGACAATCGTGGACCCACAACCGCCATCCTTCGCGTCGGCGCGCCTTGGCCGCAGCGGTGGCTCGTCGCCAGTCCTCCTCCGCGCCGTCCAGCAGGCCCTACGGAAGCCCGCCCTCGAAGATGACCGTCGCGAGGTCCCGCGCCCAGGTGGCGCGGGCAGCGTCCGCGGCCCGCAGGGCGGTCAAGGTGGCTTGCGCGACGCGCCGCGCCGCTTCTCCTTGTCGCCTTTGAGCGCGCTGGAAGCCGCGCAGCCGCCGAAGCTTGAGAAGCGCCGCATCCGCCGCAGCGTCCGCCGCCTCGCCCCCGCCGCCGGCTGTGGGAGTGCGGTCGGCCTGCCATGCTGCCGCCGCGTGCGGGCGCTCTGGGGCAGCAGGTAACCCGCGCCACACCGCCAGCCACTCCCGCATGGCCGCAATGAGCTGCTGCCACGCGGCAGGGAGATCATGGCGGCCGATGGCGCCCTGAAGCGCCGCCTCGCGGCCAGCCTGCGCAGCCGCTGCGGTTGCACGCGCCGCCTCGACGCCCCGGCCCTCCACGGCGCAGCCATTCAAGGCTGCGACCGGTCGCCGCAGAAGTGCCGGCTCCGGCGCCGCGACCCGCAGCTCTACCAGCAGCGCGGCGTGCGTCGCCAGCCCCAGGTCCCAGCGCAACCCAACCCTAGCCCTTAGCCACCATGGCCTGGGCCTCGGCGTTGGCCAGGGCGTAGTCGATCCGAGAGGGGGCCCCATGCGAGGGGACGCACGTGGGGCCTGCAGCGGCGAGGAGGTCTCGCCACCCCGCCATGCCCAGGAGGCCCTCCAGCCTGGAGTCGCGGATGCTGCAATTGAGGTCGCCCACCAGCAGCATAGGCGCCCCGCCGAGGCCATGCAGCCACTCGAGCCCCTCCAGCACGTTGCGCTCCGCGTCAGGCGCGCCGCCAGCGTAGCCGTAGCAATCCAAAATATGAGTTGCGCATCCTGCGCCGAAGTACACGGCGAGATGTTGGTGTCGCCCAGGGTGCCGCCTGGACAGCCCAACCATCGGTTCCGCCCTGATCCGGCGAACGCGCGGCCGCCAGCAAGTGCTCTCCCCCCGCGCCAGGCCCCACCTGGAGCACCTTGCCTCGCGCCCTGGCTGCACCCACAACGGACTCCGCCTCCGCGGAGGGAATGCGCGCCTCCTGCGCGCACCAGACGTCTACGCCCGCAGCCAGCAGGCCGCGCCAGCTCGCGCTCCAGCGGGTGACATTCGCCACGAGCGGCGTGGCGGTCCCAGGCGGCCTCGTGCATAACCGCACTCCTGTGGGGCCAGGTCGCAACACCTCGCCGACTCGCGCGCCCCTCCATGGATGGGCCTAGCAGCCGGCGAACTCGGCGGGGCTGCAACAGCGCCATCAGCCCCGCGGCGCAACCGCAGCAGACGGCAAGGCCGCCGCAGCCAGCAGTACCGCTGATGCCGCCGCGGCCGGGCCCCACGACTTCTGGGGGCGGTTGCCGGCGAAGCGGCCCGACAACCCAGGCTCGGTGACGAGCCAGGGCACGAGCCAGGGCTGCAACAATGCTTACACAACAACGCTTCCACCCCTCGCTTGGACATCCAAAGCCGGACAACCATATTGTGTTGACCCTATGATAGCAAGTCCTTGTTCGATGTTCGGCAAGCTTCAACAGCAACTATGAACACTCTCGGTACTTCCTTTACCTTGCCAGATTTGATACCCGGAGGGGTGGGGCGTCCTTTCCCGACGTGAATGGATAGTGCAAGCGTTGATTCGCAGCGTGTGTGTTGCAGCATCCATGCTGCATCCCCACCCCGATGTCGCCCGCGCGGGGACGCCCGTGCGAGGGAAGTCTACGAAGACGATGGTGAGAATTCACAGGCAACTTAGTAGTAGTAGTAGTAGTAGTAGTAGTAGTAGTAGTAGTAGTAGTAGTAGTAGTAGTGGTAGTGGTAGTAGTAGTAGTGGTAGTAGTAGTAGTAGTAGTAGTAGTAGTAGTAGTAGTAGTAGTAGTAGTAGTAGTAGTAGTAGTAGTAGTAGTAGTAGTAGTAGTA